AAATCAGTAAAAAAGTCCCAGTTTTCGCTTTGCAATTACGATGGGCCTTTTGAGAACACTTATCATCTTTTTGACTTTGGGGTTTAAAAAAAGAGAGCTATCAATATGACAGTTTTCTTAAAACCCATACAAAGCGCTCAAAGAGCGTTTTAAAACCCAAAAAAAGAAATTGAAACAAATAGAAATGACCCAAAAAAAGGGAAAGGAAAAAATAGGCTCAAATATCATAGGGCATAAGGGAAAAGGGAATTTTTTAGGCCATCCCAAAAAAGGTGGGGGGTCATCTTATGAATCAAATAAAATTGACATTTAAAAGGGGGGCATTAAAAAGGGGATAAGAAAAATAAAAGGGGGCTTGAAAAAATTTAAAATTTTTTAGGGATTCTAAAAAATAACCCCAAAAAATTTTTTTTCCCGGTCTATAGAAAAAAGTTAGAGAAAAAGATAGGTCCCCTTAAAAATAAATATGGGCACCTTAATGAAAAGAGAATGAAATGGGGCTTGATTTTAAAAAAAATTATTTTTTCTCGTTTTTACAAAGGAAGACACTAAAAAATAAATTTCCCGTAATTTTTAAATTTTTTCAGTGGGTAGAAGAAAAAATTATTTTAAAAATCACAGTCACTATGAGATGGTTTTGAAGCAGATAGACTGAAGCAAAATAAAAATCGCCGGGGCCGAAAGAGGGTTTTTTAAAGGGTTCTTAAAAGGGAAAGCAAAATGGAAAAATCTGTGGGAAACCCTTAAAAATTTTTTTAATTTATCTCTTCAAAAAAGGTGTAGTTCTATATGTGGAAGGTGGCTTAAAAGTAAATTTCCCATTTTTAAAAAAAGGGACAAGTCGTTAAACCCTCAAAAATTTCCGGGCCCAAAAAGCCCGACCTCAATTGTAGGCAAATTACTAGGTCAATTTTTTAGCTGAGATTAAAAGGGGAAACCATCTCGAAAAACATAGCTTGAAATTTTTACTCACATGGATTCAAAGAAAGGCCCTTTTTGTCAACTTTTTTTATTAAATTCTTAGAAAGTTTTGAGGCTGTTGACCAAATAAAGAAAATTTTATATTTTTTACTTTGATTTTAGTTTAAAGGCTTTTTATAGAGTTCCCCCATAGACTGTTAAAGAAAGTGGGGAGCCATGGCATTGGGGGGGAAAAATGCTTTGTGGATCGAGTCATGGCTCACCCGGGGCAGGGGAAACAGAAGAGTGTCCATAAATGGGGTTAAAAAACCGAGTGGGGATCTGTAACAAGTGGCATTCCACAGGGATCAGTCTTGGGCCCGTTGTTGTTTAAATATATATCAATGATCTTGATGAGGGAATTACTAGTGATATGAACAAATTCGCCGGATGACACAAAGATAGGTAGGATAATTGATTCAAACGTAGATGTTATGGAACTTCAGGAGGATTTAAACAAACTCTATTCTTGGTCAGAAAAGTGGCAGATGCAGTTCAATGTAGATAAATGCAAGGTTCTGAAGCTTGGGAGTGCCCATAACCCTAGTACTTATAATTTTAAATGATGTAGAACTTAGCCATACAGATTGCGAAAAGGACTTGGGGGTTATGGTGAGCAGCAACCTTAACCAAGACAGCAATGCCTAAGCGTACGTAATAAGGCAAATAGATTACTGGGATTTATATCAAGAAGTGTAAGCAACAGAAGTCCAGAGGTCATACTGCAGCTTTATACATCATTAGTAAGGCCTCACTAGATTATGCAGTCAGTTCTGGTCTCCGTATTACAAAATGGACATAAATTCGTTAGAAAACATTCAGCGTAGGATGGACTAAATTAATACATAGCATTAGAAATCTTCCTTATGAAGAAAGATTGAAGACTCTTAAGTTACATTCACTTGTTAGACGAAGAATGAGGGGAGACCTGATCGAAGTGTATAAGTGGAAGATAGGTATTAATAAAGGGATATTAATAAGTCTTGAAGATGTCTCTCCAAGAGAGAAACCCGCAGTAATGGATTTAAATTAGATAAGTTTAAATTTAGAAAGGACATAGGAAAGTATTGGTTTGGAAATAGGGTAGTAGATGAGTGGAACAGTCTACCTAGTTGGGTTATTGAGGCTGGGACTTTGGGTAGTTTTAAATTTAGGTTGGATAAGTACATGAGTGGGAAGGGGTTGGATTTGAGAGGGACTTTCACATCAGAGCTTATTTCTTGGGTGGCATTGAAAATTGGGTTGGGCAAATGTTTTGTTAGTGGGATGAATTGTAAAGGACCTGCCTAGTATGGGCCAACAGGCCTCCTGCAGTGTTCCTCCTTTCTTATGTTCTTATGTTATGTCTCCACTTACTACAACTTCATACCGCTATTTGTAACGCCTTTGTTGATAACCAATCTGTTACTGTCGTTTTTTTCGACCTGGCAAAGACTTATGATACTACCTGGTGATATAACATGCTCTCTCAGGTCTATAGGGCAAACTACCATCAACCCTCAGAGATTTTTAAACAGAAACATACTTCACTGCTTAATAAAATAACCTCTGTGTGATAAAAACAGTCATGTGGTAAACCTTTAAGTTGAACAAATCAACATATTTGTTCAGCTTAAAGGTGTACCACAAGGCTCTGTGTTTTTAGTTAGTTTCTGGTTTAATATCATTATTATGTACCCCATACCCATCCTGTGGGTCCAGGGACTGGGCCCCAAAGTTTTGATAGCTGAACAAGTTACAAAGGTAACGAACTCACAAGAGTTACAAAGGTAATGAATCATGTAAGTGTTTTTACCAGTGAGAATCATTCATTACCGGAGGTACTGCTGCTCTATCTTTCTCTAGTTATTACCTGATGGAGATAAGGACTGGCTCCATTATTTTTTCTTTTTCCTCTTATTGTCTCTACCAATTTATTCTTTGATTTATAAATTAAATATTCCTTTATTTGTCTGTTAGGTATCTCTTGTTTTCTCTAACCTTTCTTATCTCTCCCTCAGTAAAACTCTTGTGTGTAGACCAACCTTATCAGGTCTTGTGCCCGAAATGCCAGCATGGCTAGGCATTTCGGGCAGACTTAGTTTAATTCTTTATTTTAAAATATTACAAATTATGAGGTAAGTTGGTATTATGGCTAAGTGACTAAATACTAGTTTGTGAGTTTAGCAATGTGAATGCTTTTGTTTTGGCACAGTACATAGTTTCAGTATTGGAGTATCATAGGATTCATTATTTTAGGATTGAGATTAATATTTCTGTTTATGGTCAAATGGGTGAGTGAGTGTAAGTGTAAGTGTAAGTGTGAACCACCAGGTGGTATTCGTGTAGTTAGTTGATGGGGTGTATCAGGGAGATAAGATGTTTTCTAATGGTATCAGGTCTTGTGTGTAGACCAACCTTATCAGGTCTTGTGTGTAGACCAACCTTATCAGGTCTTGTGTGTAGACCAATTTTATCAGGTATTGTGTGTAGACCAACCTTATCAGGTCTTGTGTGTAGACCAACCTTATCAGGTCTTGTGTGTAGACCTACCCTTTTCAGGTCTTGTGTGTAAAACCAACCTTATCAGGTTTGTGGTAACCTACCTTATCAGGTCTTGTGTGTAGACCAACCTTATCAGGTCTTGTGTGTAGACCAACCTTATCAGGTCTTGTGTGTAGACCTACCTTATCAGGTCTTGTGTGTAGACCAACCTTATCAGGTCTTGTGTGTTTGACCAACCTTACAGGTCTTGTGTGTAGACCACCTTTATCAGGTCTTGTGTGTAGACCAAACCCTTTTCAGGTCTTGTGTGTAGACCAACCTTATCAGGTCTTGTGTGTAGACCTACCTTATCAGGTTTTGTGTGTAGACCAACCTTATCAGGACTTGTGTGTAGACCAACCTTATCAGGTCTTGCGTATAAACCAACCTTATCAGGTCTCATGTGTAGACCAACCTTATCAGGTCTTGTGTGTAGACCTACCTAATCAGGTCTTGTGTGTAGACCAACCTTATCAGGTTTTGTGTGTAGACCAACCTTATCAGGTCTTGTGTGTAGACCAACCTTATCATGTCTTGTGTGTAGACTAACCTTATCAGGTCTTGTGTGTAGACCACCCTTATCAGGTGTTGTGTGTAGACCTACCTTATCAGGTGTTGTGTGTAGCCCTACCTTATCAGGTCTTGTGTGTAGACCAACCTTATCAGGTCTTGTGTGTAGACCACCCTTATCAGGTGTTGTGTGTAGACCTACCTTATCAGGTGTTGTGTGTAGCCCTACCTTATCAGGTGTTGTGTGTAGACCAACCTTATCAGGTCTTGTGTGTAGACCAACCTTATCAGGTCTTGTGTGTAGACCAACCTTATCAGGTCTTGTGTGTAGACCAACCTTATCAGGTCTTGTGTATAAACCAACCTTATCAGGTCTCGTGTGTAGACCAACCTTATCAGGTCTTGTGTGTAGACCTACCTTATCAGGTCTTGTGTGTAGACCAACCTTATCAGGTTTTTGTGTGTAAACCAACCTTATCAGGTCTTGTGTGTAGACCAACCTTATCATGTCTTGTGTGTAGACTAACTTTATCAGGTCTTGTGTGTAGGCCACCCTTATCAGGTGTTGTGTGTAGACCAACCTTATCAGGTCTTGTGTATAAACCAACCTTATCAGGTCTCGTGTGTAGACCAACCTTATCAGGTGTTGTGTGTAGCCCTACCTTATCAGGTCTTGTGTGTAGACTAACCTTATCAGGTCTTGTGTGTAGACCAACCTTATCAGGTCTTGTGTGTAGACCAACCTTATCAGGTCTTGTGTGTAGACTAACCTTATCAGGTATTGTGTGTAGACTTACATTATCCCTCCAGTTCTTGTGTGTAGACCAACCTTATCTGACTTTTGTGTGTAGACCTACCTTATCAGTCGCTCTTGAGTGTAGACCTACCTTATCAGTCGCTCTTGAGTGTAGACCTACCTTATCAGTCGTTCTTGAGTGTAGACCTACCTTATCAGTCGCTCTTGAGTGTAGACCTACCTTATCAGCCGCTCTTGAGTGTAGACCTACCTTATCAGTCCAGCTCTTGAAGATATCGTCAAACTGCTGCTGTGAATGCTCTCTGAGGAAGGCCTGGCGGGTGGCGACGAAGGCTTTCAGTTCGCTCTCAAGAATCTTGATAAACTCTTGTTGCAGATCCTCAGCTTTGACGTCCTCAAAGCCAGCCTCTGTCATCGCCTCCACGTACGACGCTGCTGTTTCTAGACAGTAATCTGCGTTCAAGACGCAAATTACCATATTCTTATTACTGATTTGCACCCTCAGGAGCAGAGCTTCGATTTTGGTATCTCATCTTCACTATTTTTTTTTATCAACTAAGTTTTTGACAGTACTTAGATAAGAGTACGGAACATTTTGTTGCATTTATGTATTTATAAAAGGCATATGATAGGATGGATAGGGAAGGAAGGTGGCAGATGCTGCAAGTGTATAGAATAGGAGGCGTGACTTGTGAATGTCCAAGACAGACCGAAACGTCGTGGTTAGCGTCTCTCTCCTATGTGTGGGTTATTTGTGTATTGTTCCTGCCACGGTATTGTGACTTTTTGTTCTTTATAGCAGGTAGGTTACTTAAAGCAGTTTAGTTTTTATGAGAATATTGAAGCTCAGGTCGGGGTATGTAGGAGAGAGGGAGATTATTTTCCTGATTTTCCAGTAAAAGTAGACATTAGTCAGGGATGTTTAATGTTGTTTAATATGTTTATAAATGGGGTTGTAAAGGTAGCGAATGCTAAGGTGTTGGGGAGAGGTGTGGCATTAAAATATAAAGAATCTAATACAAAGTGAGAGTTGTCATAGCTGCTTTTTGATGATGACGCTGTATTTCTGTAAAATTCTGAAGTTGCAAAGTTGGTAGACGGATTTGGAAGGGTTTGTAAAAAAACATTAAAAGTGAGAGTAGAAAACAGCAAAGGGAGGAGAGTATCAAAAATCTAGGAAATGGAAGATTGGATATCAATTTGGAAGGAGGAAGTATGGAGGAGTTAATGTGTTGAGATATTTGGGAGTGGACCTGTCATCGAGTGGGTCATTGAAAGATGAGATGAACCATAGAACTGACAAGGTGGAAAACAGTGAGTGGTGCATACACACCAACAAAGCTTTGCTCCTGTTGCTACTACTAGGTAATATAATAGGCGATTACTAATAAATAATATAAATAGGTGATTATTAACAGGTAATATAAATAGGTGATTACTCATAAGTAATTAGAAATAGGTAATTACATTTGACATTGCTGGCATAATGAAGGAAGGAGTTCGGAGGGTGAGAGTTAGTCCTGCAGAAGTCTGTGACGAAGAGTGTCCCTCCAGGACGCAACCAGTCCTGAAGAACATACAAAATACATCATTTACATCAGTCAGTTGAAGATTGAGACACTTATGCAGCATAAGTGTCTCAATCTTCAACTTGTCGGTTTTTCAAACCATTCATCACATCAGTCAGTCTTTATTATGCATGAATTATAATGTGAATTATGATGTTTTACAATGGTGAAATACAACGATAAATCACCAGCTGTGTAATGTCATCTGTCCCAAGTTCATCAGAATTATTATTTATTAAAGAGTGAAATGATGTTTTAAAGAAAAAATGCACAATAACGTGACTTTAACTATAAACAAATACAGAGTGACTTTGTAAATGGTTCAAGTGGGACCGAAACGTCGTGATGAGCTCCCGTCTGTTATGAGTAGGTTGTGTGTTTAAATGATGCTCATTCTCTGAGGTATAACTGACCTGTTTGTTATTCTAGTTTTCTAACAAGGGCAGAATCAGCTCTCTTATGAAGCTCCTTTATAAACAGTAGTGCAGTTTTACATGATCATTATCAGTCGCATTTACAAAAAGGGACACTGTATAAAGGAGTGATGTAAATGATTCAGAAAACCCACAAGTTGAAGAATGAGACACTTGTGCAACACTTGGGAATCTTTACTGAGTAAACGTATCGGCATCCAGTGGCTTCTTCCGTCCAGTACAGAGAAGAACGGTGGGAGATGAGGAGGAATTTGAGGTAATCAGTCCCTCAAACCCTTCTTCATCTTCCACTGTTATTCTCTGTATTGGACTGAAGAAGCCACTGACTGGCGAAGTGTTTCCTCAATAAAAATCAAGCTTCATCTTTCATAGACCCATCTGCTGACACGTCCACTCCTAAATAGGCAGCAGAGAGTTTGCATAAATGGGGAGAAATCAGAATGGGGGCACGTCACAAGCGGTGTTCCTCAGGGGTCAGTGTTGGGCCCGTTGTTGTTCATAATTTACATAAACGACATAGATGAGGGAATAAATAGCGACATAAGCAAATTTGCTGATGACACCAAGATAGGCCGTCCAATTCATTCTAATGAGGACACTAGAGCACTCCAGGATGATTTGAATAGACTGATGCAATGGTCGGAGAAGTGGCAGATGCAGTTTAATATTGACAAATTCAAAGTTCTAAATGTTGGACAGTTAAATAACCATGCCACATATAAACTAAATAATGTAGATCTTAATACTAGTGATTGCGAAAAGGATTTAGGAGTTCTGGTTAGCAGTAATCTAAAACCAAGACAACATTGCATTAGTGTTCGCAATAAAGCTAACAGAATTCTTGGCTTCATATCTAGAAGTATAAATAATAGAAGTCCTCAGGTTGTTCTTCAACTCTCTATATCCTTGGTTAGGCCTCATTTAGACTATGCTGCTCAGTTCTGGTCACCGTATTACAGAATGGATATAAATGCTCTGGAAAACGTACATAGGAGGATGACAAAGATGATCCCATTTATCAGAAATCTTCCCTATGAGGATTCAATTCAAATTCAAATTCAAAGTTTATTCTCTATAAAGATTACAATGTTGAATTTACAGAATTTGGTTGTTGTGTGGTTTACATGTAGTTAAATAATGATTACAGAGTGTACCACTAGAACGCATTTCGGGCAGACCTAGTTTAATTCTTTATTTTAAAATATTACAAATTATGAGGTAAGTTGGTATTATGGCTAAGTGACTAAATACTAGTTTGTGAGTTTAGCAATGTGAATGCTTTTGTTTTGGCACAGTACATAGTTTCAGTATTGGAGTATCATAGGATTCATTATTTTAAGATTGAGATTAATATTTCTGTTTATGGTCGAATGGGTGAGTGAGTGTAAGTGTGAACCACCAGGTGATATTCGTGTAGTTAGTTGATGGGGTGTATCAGGGAGATAAGATGTTTTCTAATGGTAGTTTTGAAGGTGAATGTGTCTGCAGTTCTAGAGTTCTCAGGTAGGGTGTTCCAGATTTTAGGGCCTTGGACATACATTGAATTTTTGTAAAGGTTTAGTCGAGGGCCCTGAATCTGCACTCTCTCGAAAGGCGTAGAATTAGGGTGGATATGATCGAGGTATATAAATGGAAAACAGGAATAAATAAAGGGGATGTAAATAGGGTGCTGAAAATTTCCAGCCAAGACAGGACTTGCAGCAATGGTTTCAAGTTGGAAAAATTCAGATTCAGGAAGGATATAGGAAAGCACTGGTTTGGTAATAGTGTTGTGGATATGTGGAACAAACTCCCGAGTACAGTTATTGAGGCTAAAACGTTGTGTAGTTTTAAAAATAGGTTAGATAAATGCATGAGTGGGTTTGGGTGGATGTGAGTTGGACCTGACTAGCTTGTGCTGCTGGGTCTGGTGCCGTGCTCCTTCCTTGAGTGGAGGTGACCAGACTGGGTGGGTCATTGGGCTAATCCGGGGGAGGGGACATGGACCTGCTCAGCATGAGTCAAATAACTGCAAATAACACTGGGTCAAATAACACTGCAACAGGCCTACGTCTGTTGCAGTGTTCCTTCTTTCTTATGATCTTATGTTAAATATCTGAATACATTTACCTCCTCCAGACTCTTTCCCTTCAATCTGATATCCAGTCTTTCGTTACCTATTTTTTTCATCCTCATCATCTTACTCTTTCCTATAATCACTTTTAATTTTCTTCTTTTGCATACCCTACCAAAGTCATCCACCAACCTCTGCGACTTCTCTTCAGAATCTCCCAAGAGCACAGTGTCATCAGCAAAGAGCAACTGTGACAACTCTCACTCTGTGTTAGATTCTTTATCTTTTAATCCCAAACCTCTTACCAACACCCGGGCATTCACTTCTCTTACACCTCCATCTATAAATATATTGAACAACCATGGTGACACTAAGGAAAGACCCTTTTTGTTAAAGTAACTTATGTGCCTGATGTACCTTCCTGGACATCATGGTGCGGATAAGAGTAAGATTACGGGTTGATGACAACCAAAAGTCAAGGAAAGAAATTCTAGCATGCATTTGCTCAAATTCAATTGTTGCTCCAGTGGATGTTTTTACAACTCTCGCTGGGGTAGTACTACTCCTCTCTTCTGAAGAAGAGTTACTTCAACTACTTAAGCAGGACGTCCTGGACAAATTGAAGACTTTGGGTATCCACCCAATTGCACCTGAAATCTATCAAGCGCAACGAACGGTGTTTGTTGCCAGAATTAACAGCATCATGAGAGATAGCACAGTAAATGAACTTCTTGCTGACTTTAATGCAAAGAATTCGGAATTTCATGCTGTCCAAGCACATAAATTTTCTAAACCTGGCAACAAACAGGAAACATTAAAATTAATACTTGAGACACCTGAAGAAGCCAAACTAGTGTGCCAAAATGGCTTCAAATGTTTTGGGACAAGATGTACACCTGACCAAATCTCTCTTGAGCGGTTTGTCAGTGTGACACAATGTTACAAATGTTACGCATTTGGGCATACCACCAACAAATGCAGTAACCAAGCACTGATTTGCAGCATATGCTCTGGGCAACATTCTTTCAAAACTTGTGATAACAAAGCTAAACCCAAATGTGTACTCTGCAATGGTAAACATCATGCTGTTTCTGCTATCTGTCCCGAGAGGAAAAAGGAAATGCAGAAAATTCTAGAAGCTAAGAAACTGTCCACTTCTAAGAAGAACACTCCCGAGGCACCTCCAACAATGTCCCAAACTTCCTTCCCAGCTTTACCTGGATCTAGTGGGACTCCTCAGGTCTCTTCCACTGGTTCCAATGTTTGGAATTCTCCCCCTCTTGGAGTGCCCCAATCTAACCCTCACCTACAACATACACAAAAGCAACAACAAGGTTCAACCTCACCTCCCATGTCTCAGGTATCCTCAGCCGGGGATATGACGAGAGCGCAACTAATGTATATGATGGCCTAAGACATTGCAGGTGGGGACATTCAACTCTGCTCAAAGGTTTTAAATGATTTGTTAATGGCTAATGGATCACTCCCATTATTATCCCAGATAATGTTAAGGAGATTATGGCCCAGCCTTCTCATAACAATAAGTATGTTCCCTACTCTACTTCTACAAATAAGTCTAATTCATCCCTTGTCCAGGGATCACCCACCTCGCATAACCAAGTTGTCAACTCCCCTCAATCCGATGAGTCAATACCTGACCCTAACGATGCCCCAGAGATTGGTGCTTACTCTTCCGCTATTGCAGCTGATCTTGATGAACATGAACTTTCCCAAGGTAATTCACCTTGCCTACCAAATTTTCCCTTGGAGCCTCCACAGTCTCCCATTAACTCTCAAGAGCCTCTGCTTCCTGAATCTGGGAATATCACACCTCAGTTTTCTGATGATGACTCTAATGATTCTGTTAATATTACCAACTCTAGTGAAGATGGTGACACTTTCAATACACAAGCAACTACTCAGAACTTCCCTCCTCCCCTTGACGAGTCCAGCAGGGATAGTGAGTATACCAAAAAAGACATTACTTGCAGGCGTTCAGTCCGCAGTACACGTCCGAAGAGCAAGAAATAATGGGAATTACAATTTTCCAACTTAATATTCAACATTTCTTTAATAACCGTTACCTTCTTGAGGTTGAACTACATAATTACAATCCCGATGTTATACTCTTGAATGAGACAGCTGCAAGAGTTGATCAACATATTAAATTACGTGGTTACTCTACTGTGGAGAAATCGAGAGGACCATTTAGTGGGGTAGCCATCTTAGTTAAATTAGGCTATACTTTTAAAAACATTCATGTTGATGAAGATAACATTCTTGCAATAGAAATGACAACGTCTCATGGCCAACTAGTGATAGGAACTGGATATTTTCCCCCGAGACAACAATATATAGAGTCAATTCCTCTACATAGGATATTAAGCAGAAACATTCCAACAATTCTAGCGGGAGATTTTAATGCTCATCACCCTGCCCTCTTTAACTGTGGAGCTGGTGTTCCACTGGGTGACTTAAAAGGAAAACAACTATTTAATATCATGACAGCCAG